AAGAATATGTTAATGAGATACAATTATATTGCGAAAATTATACTCTCTTCAAATAAAATCTAACAAATAAAAGATAGTCTTCTTTTTGAAGTACCATAATTTATTCTAGATATTAATGCTCTTCACTTGTGTTTTTGAACTAGTAAGAATATTTTGCACTTTGACGAGTTATCCGATATTTAGATAAAGGCGCAATTTAGTAACTTGCTATGGGCGCCATTTTACATAGATACGCGTCTATTCCCAGCAAAGCGTTTATTACTAAAATTGGCACTGTGAACGCGCTAAAAACCCAGTCAGGTTTAAAATGAGAATAAGATTCCTGTTTCAAGAGAGACATCTTCCCAAGATATTACTTCTGGTGTTATACTAAGTGGAGAAGAGTTGGGACGATTCCCTGAGGCTTGCAGCATTATTTACTAAACGTAACTTAGTTTTGGCACATAGCTGTTTGTATAGGGTAACTAGTAAGGTTCGATTTCCATAGACAGTAGTAATAGTTAAATAAACTAGATCACTAACCATTATCCCATTCCAGGTTTTAATTCTCTGATGCCTGAGGCAAACCTATTGACCTACGTACTTGTGACAGACAACTACTAAAATTGAGGATTAATTAAAAATGGAATTATATTAAAAAAAACTATTACTGAATCCCTTATAAATTCAATGTCAATTTATTGGTTTAGCGTAGAGTGCCGACATAAATTTTGGAATCACATTGATTTTTTATCTCTAAACTTAAAAAAGAAATAAATTTACTTTTTCCTGTTTCAAGTAGCTATCCTTCGAAATAGATGTTGGGGACTCCCAGATATTTTCTGTTAAAAAAAAAGTGCAAATAGAATTCGTTTCTGCATTTCGCTGCAGGCAGTGATGCAACCCATATTTTGATATCTGTAAATTTTTCTAGCAATCTTGTGGACTTTTTTTTCTGTTTAGTTCTTGGCATTTTAATGGTTTCTGAAAATTAATTTCAATCACATATTAATCAAGATGGAATCGAACTCTGCTCGACAATTCAAGAAAGGTATCAGGTTGGAAGAAAATTTCCAAAGCTTATGCAGATCAATTTATAATGTTTAAGAAACATGTGTTTGAATTTTATATCAGGGTTTGCATATATATGTATAATAGGTGAATTTATTTATCCAAATAGGTAAAATTAGCCTTTTTTTATTAACTGAGAGAAATAATTCAGGCTGGTCCCCAACTTTTTTTGATTTATATATATATATATATATATATATATATATATATATATATATATATAAATATATATATATATTAAAAATATATATATATATTAAAAATATATATATATATTAAAAAGAAGAGAGAAACCGCAAACGCTTTTGGTTGTAATGTGGATTTTTTTAAAAATATTATGCTTTATTTTCTATAATTTGTAACAAAATTATTGGAAATAAAGCATATTTTTTTTTAAAAAAATCCACATTAACAAAAAGTGTTTAATCTTCTTTTTACACACTTTTCTCTCGTTGGAACTACTATAACCTCTTCCTTTTACATATATATATATATATATATATATATATATATATATATATATATATATAGAGAGAGAGAGAGAGAAAGAGAGATAGATAGATAGAGAGAGAGAGGGGGAGAGGAAGAGAGAGAGCTGGGGCAAGCAGACAGACAGATATATATATATAGAGAGAGACTTGGTATCGGGCTAGACCACCATTTTCATTTTTTAGACAACACTGATTTTTTTCCTTCAAACTTAAAAAATGAATCAAGTTCCATGTCTTTAAAGAAATAAATTTATTTTTTTCTATATTTGTATGCAATTATACAATAATTTAAATCAAAATGATCATTTACAGCATTTGCACATGTTTCTGCATTTCACTGCAGGAAATAATGCACCCTATTTTCTGATATCTGTAAATTTTTCTAGCAATCTGAAATTCGGAATATTCTTCTATAGAAAGAATTTCCACTTGGGGTCTTTTTGAAATACTAATCTGTATAATTCTTGACCTTTTAACAGTCAATGAAAATTAATTTCAATCGCACTTTAATCTAGATAGAACTGAACCTCTACCAAGCAAAAAATTGATTTGAATAAGCTTTGGAAAGTTTGTTCAAACCTGATACATTTCCTGAACTGTCGAGCAGAAATTCACAAATATTTTAATCGACAATTTCCCAAAGCTTATGCAAATCAATTTATGATTCATGTAGAAAAATGTGTTTGAATTTTTATAAAGGTATATATATATATATATATATATATATATATATATATATATATATATATATATATATATATACATTTTTAACATTTCACCCCTATCTTGATGGGAAGCCACTAGCACGCAACGGGTTACAGAGGATTTGGAGCGAGAGCAGATAGGAATGATAGAGGAAAGGATGAGAAGAAGGCATAATAGGTGAATTTATTTATCCAAATATGCAAAGTTAGCCTTTTTTTTATGAACTAAAAGAAACAATTCAGGGCGGTCCCAAT